ACATACAGTTAACAGGGGAAAAGACAGGAAGTCTCTGCTGAGATCCTTCAGGAGTCTGAGAATTATGATGGAGGAGGGCTTGGGTTTGGAGACGGTGACCACACTAACCATTCTACACCTTTCCACAGCGCACAGAGAGCTCACTGTGAACGCGGAGAAACTCTCGCAGCCGCTGAGCTGTCGTAAAGATTTCAAATATGAGCAGCGAGAAGATTAATGGTCTGAATCATGCTCCACGATAATGGCGTGGATTAATGCAGCCTCTTCAGACCGTGCAGGGGCAAGGAAGATAAATTTTATTACTTATCAAATATTTTTTTGGACGCCTCGTGCAGGTGGGAGTGTTTTCTGCCGGTTCAGAGCCAACACTGCTTTTAGAAAGGCGAGGCTGGGTGTGTGGAGCTCAGATGACCTGCGCTGGAGGCTTTGGTTGCCCTCCCACGCCGGCTGCTGTTCTTGTGCTAATAACATGCAATATTTCAGCAGTATGTATACTGTGCATAGTATGCAAATGTCCTGTATAAATGGTCTACTAATAAATTAGCTAAATGTGCAGTATACAACACTGTGCACAACATGAAATGTTTGACCTGATCTCCAATTTCTACTATGATGAATGAATTTAAAAAGTATTATCAGCTGCAATTTTTAACATCTCTTTCTTCACTCATCATTTGATTGGACTTTCAAATGTGAAGACATTTTTACACAAAACTGAATTACATCCTTTTATCTCCAATATGATAACTGGATGCAACTTGCTGTATTTATGCAATGTTATGAGATCATGTGACAACGATGTAGCATGCATACTGTTTTAAATGTTTTTATTGTTGCACAATGCACCATCTTATATAACCTACACAAAATAAGTGCTGTATATGAATATCGCTGAATATGGCTATGGTGCGCAGGTGGGATGCACAATTCGGCAATATTTATTCACCGCTTTCTCATATATATATACTGTATATATAAGGGCTGTCACAAGATTAAAATGGTTTAATCTAATGAATTACACAATTAATCAATTACATAATTTAATCTAATGAATGACACAATTAAGTGGTGATTAATTAATCTAATTAATTTCAAATTAAATGCACATCAAATTTGGAAGAGAAATTACCCCTAAAAGATAATTTAAAGTCATTATTTTGATAAATCAGAAAAGCATCAAATAGACATTAAAAAAAAAGAAGCTTTAGAAAGATTAACACAAAAACCTTTAGGCTTCAACGCCATGGGAGTGAGAAAACTATGACAGAATTTTCATTTTTGGGTGAACTATGCCTTTTTTAATATTTTTATATGAAAATTTGAAATAAGGTTTTTAATGAAATGATAAAAATAAGAAACTAAAACTGCCCATAGGTGGCGGTAAATGTCAGATTTAAATGAGTAAGTCATTGAGTCATTGAGTCATTCATTTGATTCGTTCAGGAATTTTTGGGTGAACTATACCTTTTTTTATTAATATGAAAATTAAATAATTTGTTTAATGAAATGATAAAAATAAGAAACTAAAACTGCCCATAGGTGGCGGTAAATGTCAGATTTAAATGAGTAAGTCATTGAGTCATTCATTTGATTCGTTCAGGAATGAAGTTAATGGCTCTCTTTATGAATGGGTTATTGAATCACTGGTTCACCCGCTTGATTTGCTCAAAACACGGATTCATTCAAAAACGAAACACTGCTCTGGCTTTACAGGTAATATTTTCGTTGGCAAAATTGAGCGCAGACACAATATTGTATCAGAAATATAACACAATATTAACTTCTTATTCATTCACATTTGCACCATTCGGAACAAAAACAGCACTCATGTGATATTGCTTAAATATATCATATGATATAAATAAGCAATACTCAATACTCATACAGGGGCATTTTTGCCCCAATATCCAGAATTTTAGGGCATTCTAACAGCATTAGGTTTTCAACTCACGCAGTGAGTTTTTGCCCTGCTTAGTAGCCCTGTGTAGTAAAGAACAAGCAGGCATGTCTACACTTCTGACTGCAGTTCTGATCTCTCCAATATAAACCACTCTCCCTCCACAGCTAATTGTGACATCAATGATCCATGTGATGGCAGCGGGGAGCAGTTCCCACTCTGCCGTTTAATCTGCGGGCTGCAAATTTGCACAGGACCGTTTTTAAAAACCAACTCCTGCGCTCAACAGCGACACGCCGTTCCACTCTCTCAAGTCTGCTAATAAAACTTGGACAGCACATCAGAGCTGGGCAATGTCACGGCGCGCAGTGGAGATTTATGGACGAGGAAGATGCGATGGAGAGAACATTTCACTACACCGGCGCTTCAAAAGACACTCAACAGGCATCAGCCCTATTTTTACACTGTCATCATCACGCAGGCTGACAGACACACACACGGAGACCAGAGAAGAAAAAGAACAAAACGAAAAGGAAAAAGAACAAAGAGTTCATGTTCGTCTGAAATACATATATCATGAAGAGTGATGTATCCCAAAACAAAAACAGATACAGGATGTCTTCTTTCGCCTCTCTCTTTGTTATTACCATCCTCTCTCTCTTACCATTTTTTGTGGTCTCATACTAGTTAATTTCCTTCACTTTAAATCTCTGGATCACAGTAACGGCTGTTGATTATGCAGCATTTTGTTAGACATCAAATGATCCCATCTGCTCGTCGTCTTGAAAATATCATTTAAACAAGATGACGGGCTCCATTTATCACACACTGAGTACATCCAAACCTGCTCTACTGAAATAAAACAATTGAGAAGCCATGAGATTGGATGAAGTATCTTCACTAAAATGCACACAAGCTGTCCCTTTCAGTATTACAATTCATCCTAACCGAGTGTGGCTCGATGAGTTTCAAGGGTCATTTTCAAAGTCAGTTCTCTGTCCTTATGATTTGCTAGAAATTGCTAATTGACAAACTGATACCACAGTCGAACAGAAAATACATGATATTTAATAGCTAATCTGAAACACATTTGATATTTAATATATAATATAATTTTGGACCGGTTTGACTGGTGGGATTACCCAGTATAATGTGTCAAAAATCTAAAATATATAACTATACAAACTATTATTATTATGAAGTGTCCAAACCTACATGCTGAACTAATTTTAAAAAGTGTATTTATTATTATTTTGGACAGTGGTAATGTTCATGGGTAATAGTCTGTAGAGACACAACAAAATGCATTTTTAGGAGACTCAATGTTAAAAACTAAGTAGAAAATATTGGCTTGAAAAAAAAATTAGTTTGAATCTCTAACCAAGACTGGTTAGGAAAAAAAATAAGATGGAAGCAGTTCATTTTGATTATTGTATTTGCTGCACCATTTGACACTATCATACTGCAGTGGGTTATGACATGGTGTAAGGCCACACTTTTGACATTATTCTTTCTTTTTTTTAACAAGACTTGACATGTATAAGCAGGAATTTTCTCTCCTCTGAACCATTATCTGCCCTACATCTTTACGCACATCTGTCTCTTAAAAAAGAAAAAGAAAAAAGAAAAACACTCCATTTATGTACCACTATGTCACACTCATCCCCTGTCACTCAAATCCTTCGACCCTGATCCCCAATCCTAATCCAGAGGCTGCAAGCGTATACAGCACTCACCCTTACCATGGGCCACGTCAAACACCTTCGGGCTTGTTATCCATTTTCGCATCTTAATGATTATAAATGACAATTAATGCCAAACGGCTGCTTGCAATGTTTCTTTCTGCTGTGAATTAAAAGTGGAAAAACGTGTCCAAGAGGGACAGGCGAACTAAGGGTACTTAACCCTTCCTATGTTCACTCCTAACTTTGACCCAGAAGTAAAACTGCCCGAAAAGACCTGATTTAGGACCACCCCGTGTAACCTTTATCACTGACCTGAACCATTAGCATGTCAGGAGAGCAACCGGCCTCTGACCGGCTCTTAACCAGATTCCCCCCCGCTGTGATTGACAGTGAGCGGGAGGGGGGCGCGGGCTGCCCTCCTGATCTCAGGGCTGTGGGTGAGAGCTGAGCCCCACAGCTATCTGCACTACTGACACCCATTTCCTGTGGAATGCTTCTGCTATGCAATGCGCTGATAGCCTGTCATTCAGAGAAACAGTGAGGGAGGGGTGTTTTCCAGCGTGTGCCCGTGAACATGAATGAGCTAAAGTGAGGATGTGTGTGTTGGTCCTCCCGCTCTGTTTGTTTTTCTGTGGCCGCTGGGTTTTGTATACATGCATGCGGCTGGTTTATATTGTAAACTCAACTGAATGCATGGCCACTAGTCTGTGTGTGTTTGAGCTATAGTGTGCATGCATTTGCAGGTGGTTTGTGGGAACCTGGAGGAGGAGTCAAATAATGATGGGTCTGCGGCCAGACATCTGTAGCCTGTTTGCATCTCCACACTCTGGGATCTCGTTCCCAACGTGTCTTGGTTTAATTCCTCTAGAACTTGTTCTTTAGCCTTGAACTGCTAAGCAGAACTACGACAGCAAGGTCAGCTGGTTAGCGGTACTATGAACACATCATCAGGATATCCTGTGTGATCTTATATTTCTGTGCAATCACGCCCCTCTTAAGAGTATATTCCGGGTTAATGTCAACCTAACGTCTATGGACAGCATCTGTGGCATGCTTTCAATTATCTTAAGTTTGTAAGAATGAATAAAAACAGTTTTTACAGTAAAACACAATGAGAGCCTGGAAGGAAGTTCAAACGATGAAAAGCAAAGCTCCTATTTAGGCTAAAACACAAATCGTCAGTGAAACAAAAATGTTTGTTACTTGAGCTATAAAGTCGAAATTGTCCCTTTGATGTGGGACTATTTTTTTAGGCTGACGAATGTCTGGTTAAGCTACACCAATGTAATTCCTGTGGGTGAGGTTGAAGAACTCCACTAGGAAACTAGGAGGACTGAGGTCTGTGCTCATTTTAGTCTATGGTTTTGCCTCGTGCCATGGTCTGGGGTGTAGATGTCCAGCCTGTTGGTTGTTCTCACCTGCTGTTTCAGCTGATGTACCAATCGGTCTTTCTCCCTCTTCAGCAAAGCCACTTCATCTTGAGTCTTCTTCTTCTTCGAGGACGACAGCTCTAGAAGAGCAATGTTGGCGTCCTTCTCGCTGATGGCTGCCAACAGCGCCTCCTGCCTGTTTGGAGGAGACAACACACAATTAGTATTCAGACATCTTTGAACAAGACGGTGTAAAATACATCCTGTTGACAAATACACCTTAGAAAACAGATAGTTCTGGTCCTTGATTAAGATTGATTGAGCCAAGCCGTTGTAAATGACTCTACAAATATACACCCATGACCGCAATACATCAGTAGAACTGCGCTTTACTGAATTTTGAGCAGTCATTACTCCATTTATGTGGAGTGTGACAGTGATAGCAAGCACCACAAATAATTAATTCTACGAATCGCCATCAGTGAAGTGCAGCTGTTTCAGGGAGTGAGCCCTGTTAGGTCAAACACGCGGTAACAGCGTGAGAGGGAGGGTGACCGTCTTTCCCGACAGCCGAGATGGTCAAAGTCTTTAGTGTACTGAAGAATACAGGCAGCAGACTGGAAAATGTCTTAGGGTTAGCGTTAGCCACGTGTGCTAGAGTATCAGTGGTGAAGTGTGTGTCAAATCATCTTCCCTTTGCCTCGCTTTCTTTTCCTCCCTCTCATTTTCTGTATGACCTCTTATACACAGAAACTCATTGGAACCGTTCCAAAACTTAGTGAGCTGCCTCACTTGCTACTGTCTGTCTAGATGGTTACCTTCTACGGTAGCATGGTAAGTGAAAAAGAACCTCATAAGGGATTAATTTGGAACACTCTATGTAGGTAGAAACTCTGTACAACATAAAAATAGAATTTTTAACATGAACTGGACAAATGGGCTGTGTTTAAATCACCACCTATACCCTTAACTAGGGCACTATTTGAGGGGACAGCCATATGTAGTGGTGTTCGAAATCACAGTGGATGTTATAGAGTTCACGCATTCAATCCCATAAAGCATCCGCAGTGACAAGCTTAAAACCGATGCACGCCCAGCGACTAGAGAATACCCATAATGCACTATGTGAGTACCACGCCGAATGAATTCCTGCGTCTCGCCAAAAGATGGCTCTCGCCGCTGAATCACCCATCCATCCGTGAGTACAGCGTAATATTATACTGATTAAAATTCCTTTTTAATTGATTATTAAATTGTTTAATTAAGGTTTATACATGCTAGTTTCCATGACAGAGTTCAAGATAAATCTTTTCATTGCTACTGGCCAGCTTTAAATGATTATTAAACAGCAAGCAAAAAACGATCCAAAAGCAGCAACCCTTCCGGCGCACTCAGTGTCCGAAATCACTCACTCATTTTCATTCACTCCTTCGAGTTGACTAAATTAGTGGACTAATCTAGGGAATAGTGAAGGAGAGTATAAGGCATGTTTTTGAACAGTTTGGTGTTGGCATGTTCCTAAGCATGTGACAGCATAAGCATAAATATATCTAGTACACACAAATAATACTTCACTTATTTCCCTTATTTTTTTCATTAATTAATGGATTTTAAACAAATATTCTATAGACCCATTTTCACTTCGTCTACTATATTGCGTTTAATTCCCCACTAAGTTGCCCACTCTGTAAAAGATGCATGCAACACAAATTTGGCCAACATAATTGTGTCAGGAATCTGAAAATACAATATACTAGTTTTGTAGCTCCTCTCTATTCTTCTATTTTAAATCACAGGCTTACTGCGAATTTGCTTTTTCTCTTATCAGTTTTTCAATCGCTGGCAAAACCTTTCTTTTTTTCTTTCTGTCTGTTTCGTTGTGTTCTCTTCGGTTCCTTGGAGGAACTGGCTGACCTGATTCTATCCAGAGTGACATCACAGCGCTAGAAAGAAGCCTATGTACCTGACAGAAGCACACACACGCACGCACACACACACACACGCAAACTGTGTGATGCCCATGGGTTGCCATACAACTCTTAATTCTGTCATTTTGACCATCAAAAGCAATGAAGATGTGATGTATCCCACAAACACACGGGCCACCCAGGTCTGTAAAACCCACCATGTCCTGGCGCAAACTAATAAAATGAAAGCTGGTGATGTTCCAGGAGGCTTCTGAGCACTAACATGTCCTGTCAGAAAGGCCTTTTAATACACTGACCTCCTGACTAGCCGTGCTCATTATGGTCAGGTTCAGACCACAGGCAGCAGCTGCCCCTGAGGTGAGTCAGTTTACTTTGGGCAAAAAGGAACTTCCCCTTCAGCTCCATAACCTCCCTGCCTGGTCCCGATGAGCCCTTCTCTATCTGCCCTGCCAAAATACATGAGGACGGCACTGGCTAAAAATAAAAATCAAAGGGAAAGATGAGGTGAAAAGAGAAACCCAGGGAGGGCGGCATGAGGAGAGGCAAACAACAGGAAGTGGAAGGATCTGCACTGGGATATGGAGGATAAGGAGTCTGAAATGATGGATGAGAATGCTCAAACGTCCATGTGAACACACTCACACACGCGATATTCGGGTCATGATAACATGCATTTTCAATCCTACATTTCCCAACCCCATGAAAAGAGAGAGATAGGTGGAAATCTAAAGCAGAAGAGAAAACCGAATCTGAATTCTTCTGTCTCTCACATTTTCCCGGTGCACGTTTCCCCGTCAGATTAATCTTTTAACAAGGATCCTCAGCGATCTAATCTTTCTTATACACTGGGTATGTTGATCACGAGTGGCCATGGGAAGAGAAGAAGCCTGGGTCACAGTAAAGTGATGACTACAGTCACGACCCACTTAATCCCTTCCTAAAACTGCTGATTTGAGAGGGAAAAGGAGGAATATAAAATATACACTGCCTTTCAAAAGTTAGGGGACAGTACGTTTTTTTTTGAGAGAGAAATTAATACTTTTATTAGGGTAAAAGTGGATGAATTAAATTGTTAAAAAGTGACAGTAAAGATATTCAACATTAATAATAATAAGATGTTTTAAAGCCAAAAAAATCGACATATTAGAATGATTTCCGAAGGATCATGTGACAGTGAAGACTGGAGCAATGATGCTGAAAATTCAGCTTTGCATCACAGGAATAATTTACATTGAGAGTGAGAGAGAGAGAGAGAGAGAGAGAGAGAGAGAGAGAGAGAGAGAGAGAAGAGAAAGAGAAAGAGAAAGAGAAAGAGAAAGAGAGAGAGAGAGAGAGAGAGAGAGAGAGAGAGAGAGAGAGAGAGAGAGAGAGAGAGAGAGAGAGAGAGAGAGAGAGAGAGAGAGAGACTAAATGAAATTGTTAAAAAAATTGGAACATTTTTTATTAAGATTTATATAAATATAATCAAAATTTTAAACATTTTAATTTTCTCCCCCAATCCTGACTATTTGCTTACAAATATTGATCAAAATGGTTAAAATCCATTATGGTTAAAATCTCTCTAGTTTCATTTTTTCAATTGTGTTAATTTGTAGGAGTTAAATCTCCAACAAAGCTTTATTTTTGTGGCACATGGAATTTCTGACTATGTAAGATGCTCCAAATATACCGTTTTCATTTGGGTTAAGACAGTGCCTTAGAAGGTAACCTCCGATGGAGGTAGTAGACAGCAAGGCAGAGCTTGTGTTCCTGTACTAAAAGAAGACAAAGCCTCTTATCAGAAGCACAGAGACACAATGGGCCCCACACATTTGTTCTGAGGGAGATAGGGAAGAGACCATATTGATCACTAAGAGGTCAAGTGGCCAATCACCTTTTCTCACGACAAAGCCAATCGGAGAGAGGGGAAGCGGCCCATCAATCAACATATCTCATCACTGCCCTCAACACTCAATTTCCTCTCTCTGGACTCTGCATTCTTTTCAGCTTCTTCTCAGAAGTCCTCCAGCAGGCCTAAAAATAAGCCACCTCCCTCTGTTCTCTATCGGTTTGGTGTTTCTATGGGTGTGTAAGCCAATGGAGAGATAATGAATAAGGTGGTGGGGAGATTTATGCCTGTTTTTGACGGGGACGCAGTGTGCCGGTTAAGCCACCGGAGCGGGGAACACTGCACAGAATGCCTGGAATGACCGGGATGGCGGGTTCTAAACATGACTTATCACTGCCATTCCTACTGTATGACGACAGGCCGACGTAAATGATGGCAAAATGAGGGAGGAATGTTAAACGAAAGCAGATCTGAGGTCGGGCTACTTTCAGCGCTTGAAATTTTAATGTTTGCCTCAACCATGACCATTCTGGAAGAGAGATAAGCTTCTTGGAAACACAAAAGAGTAGAAATGTGAAGCAAAGTTTGGAAAAAATACTGTGGGGACGGACAGATGAATGGATGGGAAAATTGACATTTCGAAATATTGTGATATCTTACCTTGTATTTTTACCTCAAAACAAGTCTGTGAAAAAGAATTGAATTGATGGATGGATGGATGGTTGGACGGACGGAACGATTTATGAAGGGATATGTGGATGGAGAGACAGATAATCCTTGAGATATAGGAATGGATGGACAGATAAAGAGGCGGTCAGGTGGAAAGATATATCAATAGATGGACAGATAGAGAGATGGATGGACAGACAGAGAGATGATTGGATGATGGAGGGATAAATGAATGGATGGCTAAAGAAAGATGGATGGATAGATGGCCAGAGAGATATATGTGTATAGGTAGGTGGATGGATGGACAAATGAACATTGGATGGATGAATGAATGACTGGATGGGTGGATTGATAAAGAGATATATGAATAAATGGTTGAATGAAAATACCTATGGATGGATGAATTGATGGCTAGAAAGATATACATGTAAAGTAAAGGTAGGTGAATGGATGGATGGAAAGATAGATTAAAGAAGACCAAACCCAAAATCACAGGGCTGCTTTTAGCGCAAAAATATCATTTTCATTACTAGAACATTTTTTTCCCCATTTCACAGACTCATATCTATGCAATATCTTAAAATGTCCATTTCTTTAACACTTCAATATTTGTGGGCCGCTGATTTGAAGGAGAGGAATTTAGAGGACACCATTAGCAGGGAGGGAAGAGTTCAGAGAACGTTATCAGCAGAATCCATCAGTACTAAGTCCTACCTGATACTGCCTGATCTAGCACATAAAAATAAAATACAGGCCAGCCGCGTTAAACAA